TACAATTTTTTCTCCTTTTTTATTACCAAGTCATGTTTTCAACCAAGTTAAGATTAAACAACATTTAATTTCTACAATAAAATAACTCAATATGATATAGAATATAGATTTAAAATTTATCATATACTTATTTAATTCTAAAAAATAATATACAACCATTGTCAAATGAAATATATAACATTAATTCTAAATAGTAATAAAAATAAAATATTATGATATATTCCCTTTTATACTATACTATTATACTATATTATATTATTTTTTCGAACAAAATATAAAATTTAATTCATAAAAAATATTAAATCCCGTGCTGTATAGTAGAGACCATGATCTAGTAACGTATATATTATGATTTTATGAATAAAAAGAAGATAAAGAACCGCAGATCTAACGTTTGCAAGCATAGTCCATTTTGACAAATACACGCCACCATCAAACGCGGTGACCCATATGCATACAAACATAATAACTACTATATAAATTTTGGTTAATTTAAAGTATACGACTAAAGTTAGAAAAGTTAAATGAATGAGTATAGAAATGAAAAAAAGTCACAAAAAGAGAAGTTGTGGAAAGATACCAAAGCAACATCGTAGTTAGGCAGCACCTTGATTTCAGCTTTGACTCACCGACGTTTAAGCCCATAGATTCTTCTTCTTCTTTAAGCCGTACTTGTATCGTAATCATCACATCATTTATAAATGATAGCTTATGTTACATACTTACATGCATACTTATGTTACATACATAGTCAAACATGCTTTCATTATATATATAGCGACTTGAATTAATTTTCTATTTATGCAATATAATTATAGTATTATCTAATTTAATATATTTCGAACTAATATCCATTTTTTAAATTAAAATATTCAGTTCATCCTATATGGTTTGTCTCGGTTACATAAAAATTAGTTTCGGTTCAGTTTCTGTAAAAATTATAATTGAGTTTGGTTTAAGCATTTCGGTTCTTTTGGTTGTTGTTTATCTATCCACTCTTTAGTTTACGACTTTCATTATGGGAATACGGTTTTCAGATTCTCAATTTCACCATAAAATTCAAAGCTTTTTTATAAACACACAAACAACTCCAAAACTGAAGAGGATTCAAAGACCAAGGACAAGGTACTTACTGAGAAGTAAAGAGAGATGTCTATTGCCTAGCTTTACACTACTGTTGACATACTACGAAGTACGAACAATTTATTCATTACAATAAAAAGGTTTAGCAAAACAAACTTGGTGTATGCTTTGCTTCCAGATCAGTAAAGTAGCATCATAGTTCATATCAAACGGGTCAAAACAAGGTGCAAGGAAATGCTTACTACTAGCATTTTGATCGATCCCATGTCCTCCTCCTCACTTGCCTCACATTTGTAGTGTCACACCCTAGTACACTGCTCGCACTTCTTTTCTTGTTCGATTGTCCACTCGTCGAGCTCTTATCTCCTGCTGCAACAGTGTTCAGCAACTCAGATAACAGAGTGGGACAGCTCTGTTTCAAGTGCTTGAACCCTTCAGATTTCATTACAGCTGCACAAAACAACATTACATACTTTTTAGTTTTCCTGGTTTCTCTTCATCGATAATATCATCCAAACTAATAACACTCTCTTACACAAACAAAAGTCCACCATGTTGGAAATGAACATATCCATATTCACCAGTTTCAGTTTTAGAGAAAGAAAGAAATATCTAGTTTAAGTTCTGAAAATGATTCTACTACCTTTAGATGTGAATAACAGCATTTACGTGAAATTCAACATTAAGACCAGGACATGTGAAGGTATAGAATCTCTATCTTCCAGAATGACAAAACCTATCTTACCCATTGGCTATGCATTGTTAACTTTAAACTAGATTGTCAAGAAAAAAGAATCAAAATAACTATTTATCGCACCTAGTTGAGGATGATAAACCTCAAGCCGTCTAATCAAGCATCGAGTCGCCTATATACAAATCGAACATAAGAACAAGAAAGTTAAATAAGTATACTAGAAGATAAGCTATAGGAAACATATACAAAAAACGAATTGGCTCACAAAACTCCCATCAATAATACACCCGACATCTTTGATGGATCATTATTGCAACGTGCAACAAGCACCAAGCACCAAATGCATTATATAAACCGGATCATACTAAAAAGGCAGATGATCAATCATACAAGGTTTAGATATCATTTGGAATCTTAAAACTATAATGGATTATATATATAGTTTCATATATTTGTTCTCTCAATTACTAATGCCATTGTTTGCTAATGTCAAAGTATAGCTCAAGTTGTAGGTTGATGAGAAAAACTTCCATGGTAGCACGGCACCTTTAATAGCAAAACCACTTTAACTCAGGACCTATACATTCTACTATCTCATCACATGATAACAATGTTGCAATTAATGCAAGAACACACGTATAAACATGAAAAACGCAAGAGAGTCTATATAGGCATATAAAAATGCAGACTGAAAAAACCAGAAAATATATGCAACACATACCTCCCAAGTTTGCTGGAGATGCAACAAATTTTAAGCAGAACGCTTTGAGCTGTAAGAACTGGTGCTGTTCAGCCAGCGCAAGTGTTGTTGCCACATTATCAACATCGAGTTTTTCACATAGCAAAACTTCACATAATATCTTTAACCTTGCAAGGTCATAAAGGTCAGCAGCTGCCAAAAGATGTTGTATCATGTTTGTGAACGAACTGGCAGAAGTTGACCCAGTAATTTCATGCACATCAGGAAGTACATCGGTGTAGATGAAGCTAAGCATAGCCTGTAAAATTTCAAGATCCCGAGTCAGTAAAATTGTAGTAGCATGTACGACCAACTATTCACAATGTAATATTGACAAAAATTACCTTGAAGATAGAAGCTTCGATGTCCTCTATCACTATTCTATCCACATTGTTATTCCCAATTGGTCCAAAAAATTGAGCTCTAAAAACTGGGGAGCGTGCCGCAAGAATCAGTTTGTGAGCTTTGTAAGTTTCATCTCCGACTTGAAAAGCTATGTCACAACCAACCTCAGAATCTAACAAGTCTTTCAATCCCTGACCCATGTTCGACAGGGGTAGCACAATGCCATACTGTTTTGGACCCTCAAGTCGGGCTCTAACAACACCAACAGTACAATTGATGACAAGACAATCATCCTTTAAGTAGTCAGAGGTTTCTAAAGCTGATCGTTTGAAAAAGCGTTTGTAACCCCTGAAAAAATCGTGATGATAAGTCATGCTAGAGAAACACCAACTTCCAGAAGGAAATCTCATTGTACTGTAAATATGTGATGATGAGTCAAGAGTAAAAACATAGTTTCAGGGAAATGACTAAATGTATGAACTCAACAGATAATGCAAGGGTTCATATAAAGATTCACAAAATTTCAAAAGCAACATGCACACACCTAAAAACCTCTCAAGGGATTCAAAAGCCATACTTTAAAAAAAAAAAGAGAAAGAGAAATAACAATATGAACCATATAAATAAAATCTTGTGCTTTACACAATTTGCCGTAAGAAAACAAAAGCACAAACACATTGACAAAGTTCCTTAATTGCTCATTTCCACAGGAAACTCTTCTTCAAAGTAAAACAATCGACATGCAATTCAAGCAGACGATAAACAACATTGCTAAAATCAAAAAGCAAAAATCCACAGTAGTCCTAACAAATGCGATTATATCATACTCCAACATCAAAATGAAATGGAATTGAAGCAATTACCACATGCTTCCTTTATACTTGAGCGTATAAGGTCCACCTTCAAGCGCCCGATCAAAGTGACTATGCACCTTATGTTTCCCTTTCCCACTCTGATCCATCAGCGTCAGCTCAAACAAAGCCCTAATATCATTAGAATCACTCGCTAAAGCGATGAACAAAGAGATATACAAGGACTGATCCTCCGGGTTCTTTCCATCGGGATAAAAGTAAATCGCCCAATCGTATCCACCGACGGAGAAGACATCGCTCTGTATAAACTTCCCAGGGCTCATGCCTTTGGCTAGAGAGTAACCTTTAATCGTAAACTGATGCGAACCATTCACCGTCTCGATGAACGACGTCGATATGGAATCAGGTATCAACTGCTCTACACCTCCGACGGTTTTCATGATCTCCGTCGTCGATTACGAAGAATTTTCTGATTTGAGAAATGTGAAATTCATGAATCGAAAAATTGGATTAACCTAGAAGAAGACGACGAGAGGGTTGCTTGTAAAATTATGAGAATTTAGGGGAAACTGTTTTCTTTTAATTTTTTTTTTTTTAATGTAATGGACTCGAAAGCATTGGGGTCCAACGACCATAACCCAACATTATTGTACATTGTTAATTTCATTTAAACCTATGTATGTTTTTTTCTCAATCTTAAAAGAAAATTGGGCTTAAGACCAATATTTAATGTGGGTGTTAAGTATTAACCATAAATATTCTATCATATGATTATAATCAATCAGTTGATAAGTTAAATTTTATTTTCAGTTGTTTTAGTATTTTTTTTTTTCATTTGCTGATATCATGTACTGAAATAAATTTATCATTTTTGTTGAATTACATTATTAACTCTTTTCACATGACATGCTATTGAATAATATTTCTTAAAATTCATAATTTAATGAGTTAGAAAAATGTTAAATAATCATTTTCATATAAAATGTATCCATTTTTTTTTACGAATGTTTTCGAAGAAAAAAATAATCTAAGATTCTTTAAGAGATCTAATTAACTTAACAAATAAACAAAACATCCAAATAATTAAAGAGCCTTTTTGTATAGAAACTTGAGAAATTGTTAAAAATGCCCCTTTTTCAATACCCCTTTTCAAAAATGCCCCCTTTGAGAGTCCATTTTTAAGTTTGCCCTCTTTTAATTTTTAATGACCATTTTACCCTTATTTGAAACAAAATTAGGTCCACAAAATACAAAATATTTTTTGGGAGGAAAAGTGATCTCCCAATTTTCCCGCCAAAACACTTGTAAAAAACCTTTAAAATACCTTGCTAATGAAGCCTCTCCCTAATGGCGATCTCCTCAAATCCCCCACTCTAATCAAGATCTCCGCCTTAGTTTTCGTCACCGTCGCTTTCTTCTACTTAGGCAAGCATTGGTCCGACGATGGCTACCAACAGCTCGTCTTCTTCTCCTCTTCCACCTCCCGTAGCTCGATCCCGGAGGTCTCCGTCTCACCGAATAGTAACAGAGTTTTCAATTTATCTGCGATAATTCCTACTAATCATACCGAGATCGAAATCCCCGCCACAATACAACAGCAACCTCCGTCGGTGGTTAAGGTGGAAGCTAATCCTCCTCCTCCTCCACCTTCTCCTCCACCTCCTTCTCCTCCTCCGCCTGGTCCGGTTAAGAGCTTTGGGATAGTAGATGAGAACGGTGTGATGTCTGACGATTTTGAGGTGGGTGAGGTTGAGAGTGATACTGTGGAAGATTGGGGGAATCAGACGGAGATCGTTGAAGCGAAAAGGGACGGCGATTCTAAGGCTAGGGTTAGAATTAAGAAATTTGGGATGTGTCCTGAGAGCATGAGAGAGTATATACCTTGTTTGGATAATACTGATGCGATAAAGAAGCTCAAATCTACAGAGCGAGGTGAGAGATTCGAGCGTCATTGTCCTGAGAAAGGTAAAGGCTTGAATTGCTTGGTTCCGCCTCCTAAAGGTTATCGTCAGCCGATTCCATGGCCTAAAAGCCGAGACGAGGTACTCCTTTGTTTGTAAGTTTTTGTTGAGTTTTGCATTTTGGTTGGAAAATTTAGATAGCATGTCTTAGGATTAGCTTAAGTAGTCTTTGGAATTTACTTATGGATAGGTATGGTTTAGCAATGTTCCGCATACTCGGCTTGTTGAAGACAAAGGAGGTCAGAACTGGATTTCACGAGACAAGAACAAGTTCAAGTTTCCTGGAGGTGGTACACAATTTATTCATGGGGCTGATCAGTACTTGGACCAGATGTCTAAGGTTGCTCCTTTTTCCAAGTAGTAGTTCTTGCTTTTCGCGTCACCTATCTATGTATCTTTTCATCTGATGTTGAGCTCTGGAGTCTGGAATTTGTGTCTGCAGATGGTTTCTGATATCACGTTTGGCAAGCATATTAGGGTTGCTATGGATGTTGGTTGTGGTGTGGCGAGTTTTGGCGCTTATTTATTGTCTCGCGATGTCTTGACACTGTCTGTTGCACCAAAAGATGTCCACGAGAACCAAATTCAATTTGCTCTTGAGCGTGGTGTGCCTGCTATGGCGGCAGCATTTGCGACAAGGCGGTTGTTATATCCGAGCCAAGCTTTTGATCTTATTCATTGTTCAAGATGTAGAATCAACTGGACTCGTGATGGTAAGGTTCTCTGGTGTGCTTTCTTCACCTAATACAGCAGAAAAAGATTAAGATTGCACCTACTGTAGTTTTAACTCCCTTTGTGAGCTATGCTCTAGCTTCTATTACTTGTAGAGAAAATTCTCACTTACGCTGTGTCATTCTTTGTGATAAAGATGGAATTTTGCTCCTTGAGATCAATAGAATGCTGCGCGCTGGAGGATATTTTGCTTGGGCTGCACAGCCTGTTTATAAGCATGAACCCGCTTTGGAAGAACAATGGACTGGTAAGATCCTTTTAGTTTGCTTTGAGTAGGCCTGTAATTCAGGGTGAATAAAATTCTCTGTTCTTAATAAACTTTTTGGAGTTAGTGATCATGGTACGTAGCTTTATAATTAACCACAGTTTGTCTCTGTGGGTATAGGGAGAGTTTTTTGTTTTTTTATTTGTTACTTTGATTTAGCCAATATGTCTACTTTCTTATACTCACATTTTGTTTTCCAGAAATGCTGAATCTTACTACTAGCCTTTGCTGGAAATTGGTAAAGAAGGAAGGATACGTTGCAATCTGGCAGAAGCCTTTCAACAATGACTGTTATTTGAGTCGTGAGGCTGGGACTAAACCTCCTCTTTGTGATGAATCTGAAGACCCCGATAATGTTTGGTACAGCTGCTAAATTTTCTGTTTTCTTTGTTTGTGATACAAGGACATATCTTGCTACCTGCATGTGGAAGCATAACAACAGAATAATATATGCTATATGCTGTCAGAGTTGCATCTCAATTTAATTTGTTTGATTGCATCTAGTCTGTCTGTTAACTTGTCTGTGACAATGTGTGCAAAAGATCACACTTTTGATGTCTCATGTTAATTTGTTTTTGTTTTAGGTACACAAATCTGAAACCTTGCATCAGTCGCATACCTGAGAATGGATATGGAGGAAATGTCCCCTTATGGCCTGCCCGCCTGCATACTCCACCTGATAGGCTGCAGACGATAAAATTTGATTCCTACATTGCTAGGAAAGAGCTATTCAAGGCAGAATCAAAATATTGGAATGAAATAATTGGAGGATATGTTCGCGCCTTAAAATGGAAAAAGATGAAACTAAGAAATGTTTTGGACATGAGAGCAGGCTTTGGCGGGTATGAAAAATTATTTTTCTGTTAGGTACTATGACGGTATTATACCTCAGTATCTTAGCTTATCTCTCTTCATTTGATTCCCTTGGCTTTGGCAGATTTGCAGCTGCACTAAATGATCATAAACTCGATTGCTGGGTTCTAAGTGTGGTTCCTGTCAGTGGGCCTAACACATTGCCTGTCATTTATGACCGTGGACTGTTAGGAGTTATGCATGATTGGTACTGCTTTTCTCCTTAGAATCTGTCATATGAAATCAGAATTTTGAATCCTATACTTGGAAATTAGTGATTCCTCTTGTTCTTTTCCCTGCTCATGTTTGATTTACACAAGAAATCATCTGTTTATGTGTCTTAAGGTAAACTAAGATTTATTCTCTGGCTCTGGATATTTGTTTAAAAAGTTATGCATTCTACCTCAGGTGTGAACCATTTGATACATACCCACGGACATATGACTTCTTACATGCCTCTGGACTCTTCTCAATCGAGAGGAAAAGGTAAGCATTATCTGTAACTCAAGTTCAAAGTGATTGAATAACTTAATCTATGATCCTTTGGTGCCTATAATTGAGTTTAACTAATTGTCATTTGCCTGAATAATGATTAATAATGTATCAGATGTGAGATGTCAACCATATTATTAGAGATGGACCGAATATTAAGACCCGGTGGAAGAGCATACATTAGGGATTCAATTGATGTTATGGATGAAATTCAAGAAATCACAAAGGCTATGGGTTGGCATACTTCTCTGCGTGACACATCCGAGGGTCCTCACGCAAGTTACAGGATTCTAACATGCGAGAAGCGTCTCCTTCGAGCTTAATACCAGACAAGTTACTGCACTTTAGTCAACACAATATATTGTTTGGTAATATCTCTTATAGTTTTCTTCTTTTTTTCTTTATGTAACTGTAAATGTGATTGTGGTGTTTTACTGAGTAAAGGTTCACTTAGTCTTCAATTTTTAGTACAACATTCTGCTATTGCAAATCTGTTGATTGTAACAAATGGATCCATAGAAAAAAGCCCGAAGGTCAGAATACAAAATCATCCAAAAATATGTGAAGGAGTATCTCTGAACCATGTCTGCACAACTCATTCTACTGCTCATGTCTCGGTCTCCACATCTGTCCACCTTGGCTTGGAATTTTTGATGCAGGTCTTGCAGAGTTCACACCATTCATATGACCTGATGGCTTACCAATGTGACCCTGATTCTGACTTGAACCTGCAGATGTATTTTTCAATGATCGGTTCCCGTTCTTGTATTGACTCTTCTGCTGCGTTTGAGTTTGTGTGATTACAGGCCAAGTTCGGCCTTGGACAGGTGGTTGCCCCTGAAGATTCCTGAGGTTGTTCTGAGGCCAATTCTGTTGTGGTCGGGATTGTGTTGGAGGTGGCCAATATGGTGGGTTTTGGGTATTGTAGCTCTGTGACCAATTTTGCTGCATTTGCTGGTTCTGATGCCTAGCCTGACCATGCAGATTACGGACATTGTGCATACTGTTTGCATGCTGTTGACTATGGAGGCTTATTGTTCTATGCAAAGACTCTTGAATGTGTTGCCCTGTCAGAACCCCAATGATGGAGTTTCTGTTACAATCTGAGACAAGACGGCGCGATGTAATCTGAAATACTTGAGCTATTCTGTCCAAATTTCTACGGCTCACACTCCTTGCAGCGTTCACCGGCTGCTCAAAAGGATCTTCAACCTGAAACACACACCATTCCCACACCTTAGCCGGGAGACTCACGTGGTGCCATAGAGATGAATATAACTCAACAAGAGGGTAAGAGAAGGAAAGAGAAAGAGACTTACAAAGAGTGAGTATGTCTTTGGCAGCCATGTAGTGTTGCTGCTTATGTTTTCCCATCTTCCAGTAAATGGGCAAACACCGAGCTCTTGGGCCTTCAAGTTTATGTCTGAAAACTGATAGATACAGCCACAGCAAAATCAAAAGACTAATCTCTATCAAGAGTACTTTAATAGATATCATTAAGGGAAACAAAAAATTTAAAGCTACAATGTATGAGAAATCAATCACCTTTGCATAAAACGAGACCAAAAGCTCCGAGAGCGAGCTTCGATTGACTGATTTTGCTGTATTTAATTTAAATCTCGCAATATTAGCAGCAGTAACTTGCGCTATGCTTTCCTCTGCAGTTTTTCGTACACCTACAAGAGACCATGCTACTAAAACTTTTGTCCCTTTACCCAAAAAAACTCATAAATTTTGTGTTGTTTGGCTTCAAAACCTTTTCATAGAAGGTACCTGTCAGATCATCAACCGCACTCTTCGGATATATGACTCTTAGAGGCGGCAAGATTGCAGGTACACAAGTCTGCAACAAACAACATAGAACATCTTAAGACACCATAGTTTATAATGATGCAGTAACTGAAGGCTGAACTGAAGGCAGCGGAATCTATGAATATAGAACAGCTATCTTACCTGAAGATGGAAGATGACTAACAAACTGAGAGAGTAAGAGTTGAAAGTCCCATTCTTTGAGTCGTTGATATTATGAGCTTTCGCCCATTCCTTCACCTATAAATGCAGAATACACGAGATAGATAAGTTTAGAATCAATTAAGCCTTTAAAACACACACAATCTGATTTTATTTGGATGTTAACTTACTAGCAAAACTAGGTCGCGGAATCTCCCATCTATTTCACTGATCCAGAACAAGAACCTGCTCTTCAAAAGCCCATCCAGGTTATCAATAGAAATATCACAAGCAATTCTCTGGTGGCCGCTCACGACTTTCAGAATGGGAACTCGCGCATGAATAACAAATTGCAGTTTGTACCATAGACCTGTTTTTTTGCATGATAATGGAAGTGAGACAAATCGCCACATGAAAAAAATACATAAGTAGTATATAAGATAAACACCAGTGAAGCAAAGAGAAAAGCAAAAAAAAAAGAAAACATAGAAGCTAAATGAATCACCACTCGCTCTCAGTGCTCGTAGTAAATGTCTGAGTAAAGTTTGTTTCTGCTTCTTTCCAGTGAACAAGATGGAAGAACCGCTGAATAAGTCAACAGAGAGATCTAAGTCTCCCCATCGTGTGAAGAGATTTGACACAAAGGATCCAAATGGTTGAACAGTAGCACCTAACAATCACAGAACCAGACAATGTGCTATAAGCATCAGATGAAATCATTTATTTACAGAACGAGAATAGTGCGAAAAAGTAACATGAACCACTTCTACTGTTCTGCAACTACAATTCCAGCAGAGATTACCTTACTGAAAGCTCTGAATATCTCACTTTCATATCCAATATCATAATCACATCCATGGCTGGTATGGTTCAAGGCATTACTAGACAGTAAGAAAAATGGGAGAAGTACAACAGTGCATCAAGAGTCATCACCTCTTAAGCATTCTACGGTTTGTAAGACGTCACGCAACTGATCAATGACTCTGATCCTCGTATCCCAATCTGCTCGTGTGGGTTTAATCACTTGAAGAATTTCTTGAAGGGTAGGATCCAGGAAAGGATTTCTACTCATCGTCTTGCTCTTCTACAATAATACCAAACACACATGGCTAAGTTATCTCAAAGAAAACATTATGCAACCATAACAAAAAGACTTCACAATCTCCAATCAAGTAAAATTTTAAAATCTCACGAAACAAACGTCAAGGTTCCATTTTTTTGATATCTTGCCCACTTTTCACCACAAAGGAACAAACTTTGTCACTATAACCAAAATCAAGAGTCTTCTTTTTCTAAAGACTATAACAAGACTTCACAATCTCCAATCAAAGTAAATTCTTGGCATAAACAACTCCTAAGGTTCAATTTTTCCGATATCTTTCTCACTTACTACTCCAAGGAACAACCTTTGTCACAAAAACCAAATTCTTCATTCTCTAGACCCAATAGCCCACATTTTTGTATCATCAAAACTCTACCCAAAACCTTATAAAAGAATCAGTATAGCATGAGTACTGGGTTTTCGCATCCACTGGATTTAAAAGAAGATGATTCGAAAGAGAAGAAGAAACCTTAATCCCAAGAACCCAGAATCTAATTCCGATCTAGGGTTTTTCTACCTCTTTCTCTCCCAAATCAGCAATCCGTAACTTGAGACTGCTCTCAGATAATTTTAGCGCTCGGAGGCAAAGACAATGAAAAGTCTTTGGAAGGTTTACTTTATTTTATTCAATGCGACTAAGGAAACACTTCTTTATTTCATTTTTAATGAATGATGTGACCATCTTTTTAGCGGACCAATAGAATCATTATACTATAGAAATTTTAAAGAGTAAATTTGAAAAAATACTTCTTTTTTTTTTTACACTTTTGAAAAAAGGCTAATTTGTCAAATGGGCAACAATAAATTAAAGGGATAGTCACTCAAATATTTTGAGATAATTTGTTTTACATATAAATTTTTTATGCTATATTCGATCATAGATTTTAACAAGTCATCTAAAATATGATGTTAACAGTTATAGTATTTTTAAATATCTCTTAAACCCTAGTTATTAAACTGATGAATTTTCTTTACATTTATTCAAAAAAAAACATTTTAGACAATGCTTATTTAATTATGATTTTGATGTGGTTGCACATAGAAAAGTTTTTTTTTTCTATGACAAAAGCTAGTTATCTTTCTTCTTTTTGTTAAATCTCTATCCTCCTCTAAACATTGTCTCATATTTTAATGCAATCTTAGCCTCAACTCTTTTACTTCATTATCTAACCTCAATGTGTTAAAAATCTCATGTATGTCAGTATGTGTAGCCATCATTTTTTTTACATTTTGTGTATAAAAAATAGCACATGAGCTGCACATCCTTATAATAATTCACTACAAGAAAACACCTTAGAACTGAGAGGCATATCCGTCGGGTATCCGTCGGTTCGTCTTAGAAATATATATTTGTTACATTTTTAAAGAATATATTTTTTACGTTCAGCTTAGAAATATATATATATATATATATATATATATATATATTAAAGAATAGATATTTGATTAAGAATCAAACCTCTCACTCAAATTTTTATTAAATTTTCTACATACAGTTAACATTAGACTGTGAGAGTAGCTCCATCACATTTTTATCAGTCGTTTTGTTCTTCAACATGTATGGTGTATTCAAAACCTCAATATAAAATAAGATCATATCAGTAATTTTTGTTTTCTTGTCTTGCATGTAGAACATGTACATATTGCTTCGTCGGCAGCTAATGGAGCCTAAACTTAAAATTTGGTTTTGTCCATTATTAGCGATGACTTGTTCGTCATGAGAGACAATGGTTGAGAAAACTGAAAATATTGAAGTAATGCGGATGAAAAATAATGATCAAAGACAAGTGAAGTGTTTCACATTATAGCTCAGTGTAGCAGTAGAAGACGATTGCTTTTGAATAGTTAGATGAGTTGTTTTTATAGTAACTTTGAGGGAATAATAAACTATGATCGTTACCTGGAAAGTAAATTCATATGAATTTCTGTTAAACTATGGATATTTTGTTAACCACATACTTGATGCTTTTGTATCTAAACCAACAATGCAGGCTGGTCATATTGATTTAGCGGCCTAAATTAACAAAAAGTGGCATAATATTGTTTTTACCAAATTTTATCGATTGCACATTCTAAATTTTATTTCTTAAACGTGATATTAGTAATTATTAAATGACTAATTGAAATTTTTTATATAAGTCACTTTATTGTTAAGACATTTTTGAAAAATCACTTATGTAAATTACGTAATATGTTCTAGTTTTGTAAAATAATATTTAAATTAACAATCTTTATGATAAGTTGTTAATGATAATCATTTAAATGTTTTTAGTTATTATGAATTGAAAATTATTATGACTGAAAGTCTAAAACAATATGAGAGAGAAAAAAAAAATGGACAAAAAGAATGCAATAATCCCTGAGTAAATTATCACATATACTTAGCTCTAAGTGTGGCCTCAATTTTTTAACATTTATTTGTGGCATAAAGCTGGAGCTTCTTCTGCCATATGGTAAGGCCGGACCTCGAACCAGGTATGGTATGATAAAATTAGAAATACAATTCTATTAGCAAAGACAATTTCTCTCGTCCAATCAGTTTACAATGTTATCAATAAGCAATGTCATTATCCAAAATTTTGGAATTTTATCGTATGAAGAAGAGTGTAGACGTATCTTGATCACATATGAATGGCTTACCTCAATCCTCAAAAAAAAAAGCAACAACAATGATTTTCCAAAGCATATGTGGTAAGAAATAATGTTATAATCTTCACTCGAAAAAAAAAACAAATCCATGGGCACAGATCAGCCATTTGACGACAACCTCATAAACATATTCCACGTGGACCAATCAAAACAGAACTCTCCTAATCATCTTCCTCGTGGCGCCACGTGGCAACTTGGCCAATCCGTATCGTGTGGCGATCAGAGAGTTAAACCTTGAGGACGAAGAGATAACGAATTGTTGTTGATCACTCGCTTTATAAATCTCTTAATTTCTTGCACACACCAACATCTCTCAAAGCTTCTTCTTCTTACTCCAATCAAATTCTCTCTTCAGCTTCTTGTGTCGTGACGCATACTCGTCGCAGTCGTGAGATATGGCCGCCGCAGTTTCCACCGTCGGTGCCATCAACAGAGCTCCGGTACACTTTAATCACCTTACACTATGTTACGAGATCTCCTAACATAATTCACTATTTCATTAGTGCTTTAATGTTACTTTTAACACTATCTTACACTTGTGTTTAGACACTTGAATAGCTTTGGTTCTTACAAATTTTAGCTCAAGAATTTGATCTTTTGAATCACTTTGAGATTCTCTGACAGAACTGAAGAATCTGGACTTTAACTAGGAAATCTAAAGATACTTTGATGCTTCTTTTATTCTCTACTTTGGGAACTATATATAGATTACTAGATTTGTTCAAATCGATGTAGAAAGTATAGTAATTGAACTGAAACTGTAGAGTTTTGGAGGATTTTAAAAGATTTTTTGCTTCACTTTATTTTTTTTTGTTTAGTTTGGTCTATATACCTTGAAGTCTTGAACTACGTGAACCAAATTAAATTGTGGTTTAATCTTCAGCTTATTCACCGGTTCGGTTCCGGATTGAACACTTTTTATCCTTAGGAATAGTCTGTAAACCGGTTCTTCAACCATATGAACCAAACTTGAATTCAAGATTGGTGTTTGAACTGTTTGTGTGTGTGTGTGTGTGTGTGTGTGTTGCAGTTGAGCTTGAACGGGTCAGGATCAGGAGCTGCATCAGCCCCAGCTTCAACCTTCTTGGGAAAGAAAGTTGTAACTGTGTCGAGATTCGCACAGAGCAACAAGAAGAGCAACGGATCATTCAAGGTGTTGGCTGTGAAAGAAGACAAACAAACCGATGGAGACAGATGGAAGGGTCTTGCCTACGACACATCTGATGATCAACAAGACATCACCAGAGGCAAGGGTCTGGTTGACTCTGTCTTCCAAGCTCCTATGGGAACCGGAACTCACCACGCTGTCCTAAGTTCCTATGAATACATTAGCCAAGGCCTTAGGCAGTAAGTTTTGCATCTCTTTACATCTCCCATTAGTTCCATATATATTTAGACTCTGTGGTTTCAAATTGTCATTATCTTCTTGAAATAGGTACAACTTGGACAACATGATGGATGGGTTTTACATTGCCCCTGCTTTCATGGACAAGCTTGTTGTTCACATCACCAAGAACTTCTTGACTTTGCCTAACATCAAGGTATAGTTTAGAGTTTTTATTTTGAGTATTTTTTGGTGCAATCTTGAGTTATTACACAACTTTATTGATCTTGAAATGCTCTGTTTTTTTCTTGCATAGGTTCCACTTATTTTGGGTATTTGGGGAGGAAAAGGTCAAGGTAAATCCTTCCAGTGTGAGCTTGTCATGGCCAAGATGGGTATCAAGTTAGTCCATTTCCTAAACTCCGATTTCGACCCTCTTACAGTTTCGCTCTCATCAAAAAAAATCTAAAAAACGTTCACACCTTTTTTGCAGCCCAATCATGATGAGTGCTGGAGAGCTGGAGAGCGGAAACGCAGGAGAACCAGCGAAGCTTATCCGTCAGAGGTACCGTGAGGCAGCTGACATGATCAAGAAGGGAAAGATGTGTTGTCTCTTCATCAACGATCTTGACGCTGGTGCGGGTCGTATGGGTGGTACTACTCAGTACACTGTTAACAACCAGATGGTCAACGCAACACTCATGAACATTGCTGATAACCCAACCAACGTCCAGCTCCCAGGAATGTACAACAAGGAAGAGAACGCACGTGTCCCAATCATTGTCACGGGTAACGATTTCTCCACCCTATACGCTCCTCTCATCCGTGATGGACGTATGGAGAAGTTCTACTGGGCCCCGACCCGTGAAGACCGTATTGGTGTCTGCAAGGGTATCTTCAGAACTGATAAGATCAAGGATGAAGACATCGTCACACTTGTTGATCAGTTCCCTGGTCAATCTATCGGTAAGAAAGATTCTGACTACCCTGAACTTGGTCTATATAGGAACTCGGGCAGAATCTGATTTGTATTTTTTCGTGTGGACAGATTTCTTCGGTGCTTTGAGGGCCAGAGTGTACGATGATGAAGTGAGGAAGTTTGTTGAGGGACTTGGAGTTGAGAAGATCGGAAAGAGGTTGGTGAACTCAAGGGAAGGACCTCCTGTGTTCGAGCAACCCGAGATGACTCTTGAGAAGCTTATGGAGTACGGAAACATGCTTGTGATGGAACAAGAGAATGTCAAGAGAGTCCAACTTGCCGACACTTACCTCAGCCAGGCTGCGTTGGGAGACGCAAACGCTGACGCCATCGACCGCGGAACTTTCTACGGTAAAACAGAGGTTTGAAACTCCTTTGTTTTTTGGTTTGGTTGGCCACGGGATTAAACCTTGGGATATGAAAATATAAAAGAGAAGAAGAAAATGGAATTAGGTTTTCTGAAGTTAAACTTACTTGACTTGCAGGAAAAGGTGCCCAGCAAGTAAACCTGCCTGTTCCTGAAGGGTGTACTGATCCTGTGGCTGAAAACTTTGATCCAACGGCTAGAAGTGACGATGGAACCTGTGTCTACAACTTTTGAGCAACATTATCCTGCTTATTAATTTGCTGTTTTACTCCTATTGTCTCTTTTGGTTATTTTTTTCCCTTTTGTGTAATTGTGGATTGGGTCTTGTCCTCTTTTGTTCCTTCTTTTTTTATGATCATGTGCAACACATTGGTAATTTAAAATTGCCTTGTCATAAACTACATTTCTTCATCTTCCAATGCATAGTTTTGCACATTCTGTTAATGTTTAGACATTTGAAGTAAACAAAATCTGTGCCCAAACAGAACAAAATAGAAACAACACTCTAGATGTGAAGCGATATATATCCATCTATCTCTGGAACATATAAATAGGAAAAGCCGTATCCGGATAAAACAGACGAGCTTATGGATATCGGTTCCACGCCCACACCGATGACCAAACTATATAAGCCAGAAATTGCATCGCATTCAGAGCACCACACTATTGCATGGTATTCTTACAAAGAAGAAATCCGATACATTGCTTCACATATTGAATGTTTGCAGTCTCTAGACTATTAGTAGATGCACATAATTGTGTGAATGTGTATATATATTCCAATTGTGATCACAATTCTCTTTATTTATAATGGCTGGCTCTTAAACATCCATCATCATACATACATAACTCAACGTAAGAATTTGAGGAAAACGAATCAATTTCCTCTCTTTGTTATCTATGATCACTAGAGCAACAAGCTATAAGGGTGATACTAAATAAAGTATCAGGTTTTAGATGTAACAACCTTGATCGAGGAGAGGCTAACTATGTCGGGGCTTTTGAGTTGATCAAGCTGTTTAGTACCTAAGCGAAGCAAATACTCGATGTACTGGAAATTCTTACGGTCAACCTCCTTAGAGTTGTGGCGGAATTCTGTTGACACGATCATCTCTATTCTCTTCCTGTCTTCTGTTGGCCTAGAACGAGCTGCTCTTAGAAATCCTCTGTAGAGACTCAAGACTTGCTTTTGCATCCCAGAAAGTTTGGAAGCTCCCATTTTCCTCTTTAACAAAAGAGTAAACCAAACAAGCTCATTTTAGAATATTGTCATATACTGAGCACATAACAAGCATTTGAGCTAAAGAAGTGCAGTGACTGATGAACAAACAATCAATAAGATAAAAGTTTGCTACGCAAATCAACAATCATGCAGTGCATAGCGATGAACTAAACGCAGAAATCGACAAGAGAACGGGTTCTTCAAGCAAACAGACAATGTTGGCCTCAGATTGTGATTAAAAATCTTATATTGTCAACAACTAAAATATATCCCAAGACTTGCTAAGCGTATATGATGATGAGCCATTGAACAGAAGCTGAGAGACACACTAAGCAATTCCTGGAACTGATTTTGAATTAGAAAAAGAAATAAGACAACTCAAAATCTGGTGAGAATAAGCAAAAGAGGACAAAATTGTGACCAACAAAGATTTTCCAATTCCATCAGCAAACTACTCAAACTCAGAGAAGATGTCGAAATGGAAAAAACAACTTGTGTAATCAAAATTGTTACAGCATCTGGCTCAACGAGATCCGGGCTATTTCATCTCACAGATATTCGCATAATTTTCATTTCCTAAAATAGATTACAACTAGAGAGAGATTATGAGAAAACCGGACTTTCGGATGGAAGATTTTAGAACAGAGATGCAGGAAGAAGAAGAAGAAGAAGATTAAGCGTACCTGTAAATATCTCAAAAATCGAAAGAGCAAGCCAACAAGTAAAAGAAACTCTGGGATTCAGGGAATTAATGAGGAACATTTAATGGGCTCTTGTAATACGGGCTTTTATCTCTGGAGATCAGAATGGGCTTGTACATTCAATTTTTGTCATACGACATCTTTAAACTAAACAACATTTCAATTTATTACCATTTTTGTCTTTAATTCAGTTAATCATGCACAATTTGTTTTTTTATTCAAAAAAAGGCTGTTACAGTATTTAAAATACATAAAATACGTTATTTTTTGTACATAAACACATCTTTAGTAATACGCCCAAAAATCAATTTCTTCTTGATTTACCATTTTTACAGTCAAAACCCACTTAACTAAATAATCCAAATATTCCTATTAAATAGTGGGGATTATGGTTAGTAATTCGCAGTAACAGTTTTGAAGAAGAAAAAAAAAACGTTTAATCAATTACCAACAATGAAAAGAAAAAGAGGAGGAGGTGGAGGTGGTGACAGCACACGAAATGGACGGTTGGGCATAAGCCAATTCTGTAATCTTCTTGTTAACACCTCCTCCTTCTTTCTCTCCCTTCTTCTTCTTCTCCTCCTCCGTTTATCCTCAAATTAAAAGTCAATCAAATCAAATCAAATCAAATCCTCCAGATGCTGTTACCAATCATCTTCTTCCTGAAGATTTGATTTCTCATTTTCCCCTCTTTCATATCCCTATTCCCATGGCTTCTGGATCTTACTGGTGTTATAGTTGTAGCCGATTCGTTTGGGTTTCCGATTCTCTCTCTTGCCCTGATTGCGACGGTGGTTTCCTCGAACACATCCAAGAAACTCTCGATTTCACACCTTCCGATTCCTTCCACCGTCTCACCACCACCACTCAACATCGCAGCCCCACTCGCTTCCCTCCTTCCTCCTCTTCTTCTTCGACCCCCTCCGCTTCTATGCACGCTTCCACCGCCGAGAACAGTCCCACTCCTACCACCGTTACTCGTACCCGAAGCAATCGATCTCCTAATCCCGTTATTGTTCTCCGTGGATCTGGTGCTCCTTCTGATGTTTCCGAAGGTTTAGATCGATCTGCTTTTCAGATGTATTACGATGATGGTACTGATTCTGGTCTTAGACCTTTACCACCGAGTATGACTGAGTTTTTGTTAGGTTCTGGATTTGATCGCTTGTTAGATCAGATCTCTCAGATCGAGCTTAACACCAATCGGATTCATCGTTCTTGTGAACATCCTCCGGCTTCTAAATCGGCCATTGAAGCTTTACCTCTGATTGAAATCGATCTGACTCATCTCGAATCGGATTCTCAATCTCATTGCGCTGTTTGCAAAGAGAATTTCGTTTTGCAATCATCTGCTCGTGAGATGCCGTGTAATCACATCTATCATCCTGATTGTATCCTTCCTTGGCTTGCGATTCGAAACTCTTGTCCGGTTTGCCGTCATGAGCTACCGGCGGAGGATCTCACCGACGCAAGCGGTGCCGCTTTGACTGTTACCGCTACTGCAGAGGAAGAGGAAGACTCCGCGGCGGGGTTGACGATTTGGAGGTTACCAGGTGGAGGATTCGCGGTAGGGAGAATCCCTGGTGGTTGGAGAGGAGGTGATAGAATGATGCCGGTGGTTTACACGGAGGTTGACGGTGGAAGACTCGGCGATGAGAGACTTCCGAGGAGAGTAGCTTGGGGTTCGAGAAGAGGAGGAAGAGATGGAGGTAGTAGAGAGAGAGGTGGCGGGTTTGCGGGTCGGATCATGAGGCTTTTTGGGTGTTTTAGTGGGTCATCTGGATCCATAGCTGCTGCCGCTGCATCATCCGGGTCCGGGTCGAGAATTCGGGTTACCCGTAGAACCAGGTCGTTCTCTATGTTTAGTACGGCGTCGTCTTCGTCAAGGAGACGAAATTGGCTAGCGTGATTACTAGAATTATCGTCCCCTCTCTCAAGGTAAAAATCTAAACACGAAAGAACAACACACTCTTCTTCTGTTTAAAATTTTCCTTTGTTCCTTATTAAGTTTTTGTTTATTTGAGTGTAATGATTATATTCATTCCCAAAATTTGAATCTATGCGAGTAAATTGATACAAAAGTTTAGGTGATATAGTGACGAAGTTAGATGTTGAAATTGTTCTTGAACATTTGGAGTTTTGTTGTTATTTTTCAGTGGAAAGATACGTTACTATGACTAGATTAGTGAGGGTGTAGATAAATTGAAGAATGGACCATGAAGGAGATTCATAGTTGTTCTATTTGTAGAAATCGTTACCGTGAGTACTATATGGATTGTGATACAAATGTTAAGCAGCTTAATACTAACCAAGAAAATGGGTTTCAATCTACTTACCCTGTATTCAAATTATAACATCTTTAGTATTCAAACCTAAAGTGAATTATGTTTGCCAATCTTGTCCAGTTATAATCTTGGAACTGCAGACTCAACCAAAGATACGTACCTAGAGGCTATAGAAGAATCTTGTAAAGACACCAATTAATTTTGAGGTCAATAACTACAAGAACGTAAAGTAAAGCAATAATAGAGTTTCATACAACGCATCTGATGTTGCTGTCGTTTATCGGAGACAGTCTTTGTAACTTAGCCATTATTTTTCATTAATAGATTTGTTTATGCCCTTTTATGTCTCCTATGTCAATGCACTCTTACTCTTATAACAATATTGAAAGTTGAAACTGTAATTTGTTGGGTCGTTGAATATAAACATTTATCAACAATAGCACGAAAAAAATATGACCCTTTTTTCTTTCTTTTTCGTCAGCAGGAAAAAATGACCTAAACCCAAATGCTTAGCGATTTGAATTTGCGTATTAAAGTTTGGGATCTGAAATTCGATTGCTTAAGTTAAGACAAAATTTCGGATAGAATTTGTTTTGTATGATCATGAGTCATATGACAATAATATTATCATCAACCTCACATATTGGAAGTCCAGATCGTATCCAACGTGGATACCATTAGGCTAAAAGGTAGAAAACACTAATCACTTCTACATCGTGCTATAACACCTCCAAAACCCTTGTTAAGCCTCGTAAAATCATGAACTGAACACATCTCTCCTTTGGTCAATTTCGCTGAGAGAGGCCTTGTGTGTAAAATAACATTCTTAGAGTATGTGACTCTAAGCCCAACACTATGATAGCTATTTTTAGAGTATGTGACATAACAATAACAATATTGTATGTGACTCTAAAAATAACAATATTGTATTTAACACCCAACTCTTTAAAATGGCATGTATTAATACAATATCAAGAAGAAGAAGAAAAACAATAGTAGAATATTGCACTATTCTTTAAGATAGACTGTTCTTCGATTTTTTTTTTCAATATAGAAATATATCCAATATATTATGTATTGGTTTCTTTTTGTTCTTATAAAATTCCATGATATAACTTGTTTTATATGAAATATATGCGACAAATTGTGATGTTAGATCTATGCGGTTTCAAATAACATGTTATAAAGGCATTTTCAATAGTTAAACACTACATTATGTCATCGACCCAATTTTGGAGTAAACATGTTACTTTACTTTTTGGTTATTTCACCAATTCACCCATACATAGATCCATATTTCATGTTATGGTCATAGTTGTATCACAAGGAAAATTCAGAACCCTACATATATAACACACATACATATTATATAACATTATTAACATACCACCAAGGTAAACTCGGAGATTATTCAAATTTTAATTTGCAAGTAGCCTATGAGCCAAGTGATGTAAACGGGACAAACTAGTTCACATAGACTCGTAACTCATTGTTTTGCTTCAATCACTTTCACACTCATAATCAAATATTGGATTATTCACGGCAATCTTATTAGACCATAATACTACAAACAGAAAGATTGGGGTCCCCCATACACAATGGTCTGGCCTTGCCACGAAAAAAATACATACGAATAATACAAATAAACGCATTTATTCAGAATTGACTTTACTTCTTCAATTTGTTTTTATGTTATCCTTGGTGTTGGTTTTTCCACGAACGTGATAACACCAAAATGTAGTGTAAAATTGTAGGAGCATAGTCATATACCCGTTTGTCATTCCGGGTTGCAAGTGGCGGGACGATATTAGTGACGTCCACAAAGATGATAAGAAACATTCTCGAGATTGGCTTGGTCCATATAATCACATCCAATCACCCTGAGAAAAACAGTCCCAACATTTAATGCTCGAGGCCGTTTTCAAAATTTCGACAAAGGTTGTTAATACAAACTGTGCTTTGATTTAGGGATCTTATTCTGGTTCATGAGTGTTATACTAGCCTTTATCAACATGATGGACTATTGATAAGTGTATATGGAAATCTCACATTTAATAAAATGATTGATACTTATATAACATATTAACTTAATTTACAACTTTTACCCAATTAAGTAGTTTTCTTTAATGTTCATTGCCTTCATGTTTGGAGTTTTTTTGTCAAGAGCTTCAAATCAATTGTGATTAAGTGTAGCTAAAATGTCACCTTGCAGCTGTAACTCTATAATTCCATTGGTTGAGACTCATTGCCCCAAGACCAAAAATATATTTGTTGGTGCTTGGTTGAAAGAAAAAGGAGTTATTTGGTAACACAACAGGGAGGAGTTGGTGAGAATTGAGAACGACTTAGAAATGGGTTGCCTCCAGCACACAATTTGACAAATCTTTTGTCGATTTCATCACCACCTTTCGCCAACTTTGACAAACTCTGCAAAATTACAATATAAAATTCAACTTTCGTTTACCTTAAATATACTACACGGCAAGCATGACTCGGTTTGACGTGTTACTGTGAGGTTACGACCATCTTAAACTTTTTGGAAGTACTTTTTCTACATTCAAAATTTTATATTAAGAAAATGATTTTAGAATTGAGGACTTTATACGAATGCATGTAGGTTAGGTGATTAGTAACATCGGAGACAGGATAAGACACTACTTGATCGGGACGCAAATGAGGTAGAACTTAAACTGAAAACTTTTTGTTCTAAATGTATTTTTAGATTCATATGGAATGTAAACATGACAAAACAAAACACAACGAAAAAAAAATTCTAAAATCTACTTTTTACCCGCTATGTTACTGCGATCCCTTTGTTGTTTGGTAGCAATTTGGATGGCATATTTTCACGGTAACAAATACTACTACTAATCATAAAGTCAGAGTGTAAGACAAATTAAAGAGATTTACATATATGTAAAATTTACTATGTCGGTCGTGAGTTATATTAGGAAGGTGCTTTTTGTCAAATCACCAAATCTCTATTATAATCATACTTACTGGAACAACTTTGCAAACTAGATTGGTCTTAAAAGATTAACAAAATCATTCAAAAAACAAAAAGAACAATCCTTTAAATTATGAACTTGCTTGTTTTTTGTTAAACTAAGTTACGCTTTCGTATATAGCAATCATAGTACATGATGCATTTTATCAAAAGAAAATCAAATTATAATCTCCAACCATCCTTATTTTTATCCCTGAGGTGGGTTATTGAATTTAATAAATAGAACTTTACACGATATCTCTCTTACGATTAATCTAATGTAGATATGATTTAGAAAATTAAAAGTAAAATTAAATCTGCCTAAAACAGAAAGAAAAATTTTAAAAATGTGAGAGATCCCGGAGAAAGTGGGAACACAAAGAAAGTAGAAAAAAAAGTTGATGTGAACTACAGAGACTAAACAGAAACCACAATGACACGGCCAAAAAGACCTACTCCTCCACTCACACTCACTTGTCAAATGAATTCGACAACACAAAAACCCTAATAATCTCATGAAATGATATTTGTAATTAGGTCGAGACAAAATTATGTATAAGTTCTAGTTTCCCAAGTGGTTTGGTCAATGATTTGACTTGCTACTAGAATTATTGCTTAGACGTTAACTGAAGATTTTTCACCTAAAATTCAAAGTAAACCGAAACAAACCGGGCAATCCGTAATTAAGAGATATAGAGAAAAAAAAGAGACAATATTTAAAGACGTCAAGTAGTGTAGTATGTAACAAAGAGTCTAGACTTATAATGATGGCTTCGTCATCATCATCTATTTCAAATTTGTTTCTTCGAATCTCAATTCTACTTCTCATTTTCCCTCTCACGTTATGCAAAACATCTTCTTCAGATCAAACACTACTCTTCTCTCTCAAAACACAGAAACTTCCTCGGTCTTCTTCAGACAAGCTTTCATTCAGACACAATGTTACTCTCACGGTCACTCTCGCCGTCGGCTCTCCACCGCAAAATATCTCGATGGTTCTTGACACCGGAAGCGAGCTTTCATGGCTTCACTGCAAGAAATCTCCAAACTTAGGATCCGTTTTTAACCCGGTTTCATCCTCTACGTACTCACCAGTACCTTGCTCATCACCAATTTGCAGGACCCGGACCCGGGATTTACCCATACCCGCTTCATGCGATCCGAAGACCCATTTCTGCCACGTGGCAATCTCCTACGCTGACGCTACCTCAATTGAAGGTAACTTAGCTCACGACACGTTCGTGATCGGGTCTGTGACCCGACCCGGTACGTTATTCGGGTGTATGGACTCAGGTTTAAGCTCCGATTCAGAGGAAGACGCTAAATCGACCGGTTTAATGGGAATGAACCGGGGATCTTTATCTTTTGTTAACCAGCTAGGTTTCTCAAAATTCTCGTATTGCATCTCCGGTTCAGATTCCTCCGGTATTTTGCTTCTCGGTGACGCGTCCTATTCCTGGCTGGGTCCAATCCAATACACGCCTTTGGTTCTCCAAACGACACCATTACCGTATTTCGACCGGGTTGCTTACACGGTCCAATTAGAAGGAATCCGGGTCGGGTCAAAGATACTTTCTTTACCGAAATCCGTATTTGTACCGGACCATACCGGAGCCGGTCAGACGATGGTTGATTCAGGTACACAATTTACGTTCCTAATGGGTCCGGTTTACACAGCCTTAAAAAACGAGTTTATCGCGCAAACCAAATCGGTTCTCAGAATCGTAGACGACCCGAATTTTGTGTTCCAAGGGACAATGGACCTATGTTACCGGGTTGGATCGTCAACCCGGCCCAATTTCACAGGTTTACCAGTGATTAGTTTAATGTTCCGTGGCGCGGAGATGAGTGTGTCGGGTCAGAAACTGTTGTACCGGGTAAACGGAGCCGGGTCGGAAGGAAAAGAGGAAGTGTATTGCTTCACATTTGGAAACTCTGATCTTTTGGGAATAGAAGCATTTGTTATAGGTCACCATCATCAGCAAAACGTGTGGATGGAGTTTGATTTAGCTAAATCAAGGGTTGGTTTCGCTGGTAACGTTAGATGTGATCTAGCTAGTCAACGGCTCGGATTAAGAGATTGATAGGACTTGTTTAAGTCGTATGTGGAAAATGAGAATATTTTCTAGACCAAATACATTTATATAGTTTTGTAAGGATAGCTTTATACGATGTGGTTCGTGGAGTTTTTTTTTTTTTTTGTGGGGAATTTTGTAAGAATGTGTATTATAGGAGATCTTCATGTTATTTTAGTAATTCAATGCCCTTCCTCGGTTTGCAACTAACTCCACTTGAAAGGATCATTGTCGCCATGCGTCCTACAACATGTCAATTCTCTAAGACAGTACTCTATATGTTTCAATGTAAGTGTCGTTTTGAAATGAAACTTCTTATCATTTATCTATATTTATTTATGATCATTCCTTATCAAAATTTTAACCGAAATCGAATAAAAAAAACAAACAAAAGAATTGAAATTTAAATACTAAACCGATTGAAACCACTGAAAAAATAAAGTGAACCGAACCAAATGCCAAACCATCTCAACACAGCTTCTGTTATATGCTTTCCAAACCAAACTCCGGCTCGCATGTAATTCTTACAACTTCTCCAACCTGACAACAAGATTTGGCCTATATGAAGAAGTTTGTCTACCAAAGACAAAGCCCATACTGAAAAACTAACAAAAGAAAAATCGAAGTTTGGCTCGGATCACTTCGACTTCATTATACAATTATCACGCTTTATGTGAAACGAATGATTGGGCTAAGCCCATGATTTGCTGGAGACGGGTTGATGTGAGGTGCTCCAATCTTCTTTTGCTCTAAAATAATTATACTAAAGTTTCTAAACTCACTTGTAGTCCGAATGTGGTCGATCAGTTTGCTTGAACCAGTACTCGGAGTCCATTTCTTTTCCCGTGAGATTCACCATGATCAAGTTATAGACAATCGTTAGAAGTAGCAATGTTACATCCCCACATAAGTCCTAGAAAGAGTGTCATTAACACTAGGAATGTGAAAATAGGTTTAAAACTCCAGCCTCGCCTGAACCCGTTAAAAGCCCAAGTATGCAAAAATCCCAGCGGGCAAGGATATGGAACTTGTACTAACTTACGCTGCCATTGTGTCAAACCTCAATACTATATGCGATACATTTATTTACAAGTGGAAAACAAAAAAAAAATCATAAAGAAACCATCTTAAACTAATGGGTACAACTGAAATTTAATTTCAACAGATGTCTCTACATATCGAAATGTTTTCTTAAAATTGTGTGAAGAAGTCTCTTCCAGTTCTTTATTAGAGCAACCGCAATGGTGGCTCTTATAGAGCTCTAAGCCTAGTTTCTTAAAAGAAAAAACTCCAAATTTAAATCAAAACTGGTTTTAAACCCAAGAAACGTTTCTTGTTTTAGAGTTTTTTGGTCTCATAAGAGACGCTGGCGTGGTACCGTTTATTGGTTCGTAAACAGAGAAAAAGAAAAAAAAATTCCCAATTCATTTTTCTCGAGCCTCTCTCTCTCACACCTTGTTATCTCCGACGGCGATTTTGGGAGAGATCGGTCTGAAAAAGAGTTTCTCTTGTCAGAAGCTGAAGAATCAAAAGCCTCTTAGAAATGAATTCCATGGAAAACAGATCATTTTCGGTGATGCTCAAGACGAGAGCTTCAGAAGGAGCTTCCGATCGTCATCCATCACAGCTCAGGTAAATTTGATTTCTAGTGTTTTCATTTTCGTTTGTCCCAAATTTTACATGCGCAACCTAATTAGAAAGATCTTGAGAGCTAATTGTTGAAAGAAACGTTTTTTTTAAAGGTTTTGCTTTAATTTTGTAGTGAATTATGACTGGATGAGAAAATTTTGGTGTAGGGTTCATGTGTTTTCAATTTGAGCTGTTGATTTCTTGGATTTGTGAAAATTTTGGTGTAGGGTTCATGTGTTTTTTTTTAGGTTTTACTTTAATTGCAGCTTTAGCTGTACCAATGCCACGGTTGGTTCTCATTACCATATAACATGAGACAACCAATTACAACCATGTTAGGTTTGGTTTTGATCTTGATTTGTTTTTTTTTTCAGATCAAGAAATTCAGAGATGCATTGGCAAAGCATGGTCCAGATAGGTGCAGCCTTGGACGGACTAAAGGCCTTGAAGAGAAAGAGCTTGTGGCACTTGCAGCCAACAAAGATCTCAACTTTACTTACAGACCAAAGCATGTACCAGTTGAGAAAGAAGCAGCCACTCCTAATTTAAACCCAAGCCTCCCTAGCTTTCGACTCATTCTTAGCAAAGCATTTCGAAGAGAGTGTACTGCTTAAGTTGCCAGAGAATTAGCAGTCTGTCCTCAAGCAATCCCTTATAAGTGAAGTGGATGATATGCCTACCTAAACCTAACTCACATTGATTCATAATCTGAGTTTTTGTTTTAAGAAACCTACTTAAGGACTCACCATTGGACAAATAAATTTGTAAGGATTCATCAAAAACTCTTAACTTTAAAAATGGCATAAAGTAAGATTATAAAATGTTTAAGAATCCTTTTAAGGATTCAACCATTGTTGTTGCTCTTAGTTCTTGAACTTTAGTCTATTTTAATTATGTAGACAAAGAAAAGGAGGTAACATAAAGAGACAAAGCATATCAAGGAGATCCAAGTCATTCCATATGCTAGTGGGTATCCATATTTGTTCATGTGACGCTATCAAAGACCCATAACATCACCCCCAAACAAATCGATTCTTTGAATCTTTTCATTGATCCTTTCATTACCTACTTCTATTTTGTCTCACATTAATATAGATAAACGATATGTCGACTCATCTATGTCCATGCATACAAACGTCACTTACTCTTTGCATGTTTGCCATTGAACCTGATTTGTTGACTGTCGTAGCAATAATGATTCTATCCGTTCCTCATTTACAAATAACAAATCGCAACAAGATATATGGTGAGAACATATAGATTGTAGCCTTGTAGGAAAAAGAAAAACAGAATAATAGAGCTCTAAAAATAATTCCTTTTATCCCATTGCTTTTGTAATGTCTCTTCTTGAACTCGATTCTTTTATATATGTTTATCAAGATCGTGTGGATTAATTATCTATAATTCCTTTTATCATAGGACGCCTTTTGACATATATAGAGAACAAATCTAAAAATTATCTAAAAGTCAAATACTTCAAACTTCTCTTTTTAACGACCTTACTTGAATAAGATCTGTTCTATAGGCTCGTACCTCTGTTTCCTTGATTTCTAAGGAGACAGGCCCTTAACCCTGGTTAATAAATAAATAATTTAGAAAAAAAATCTCTTTTTCAAAAAAAAATTGAAACATTCCAAATTACCCCCAATTTTTAATCCTAATTAGTAAAAAATCGGATAGCTACACTCAAATTCCGAAAAACTGGACCCATTACCAGAATTTTTAATCCCATATTTCTTGAAACTATCCGAATTATGATGCATGTATTTCTCATCATTTGGATAATATTGTCTCTACTATTAATGTTGTTCAGGCTTGCGTGTCACGGATGTGATTGTTGACCAAACATGGACCCTAAATTACACTTTTGTATTTATTTCAAAGAATGATTTTGGATCGAGATTGGCCTTGGCCCTTGGCCTTTTTTTTTTTTTTTTTGATATATAGTTATTTCATCCCTTGTTTGAAAAATCGTTGTGCGCTAGTCGGTCGTTTGGTATGGGGCCTAACGATTAATCCAAAAATCAGATTAAAATCGGGGATTAATCGGGGATTAATCGGGGATTAGTTTTAGGGTTATTTTAATATTTTTAAAACATATTAATCCAATATTGTTTTTAAAATTATAGTAAACACATAAAATTATATTTTTAAGATAAAAATTTATGATTTTTATCACGAATTTATGATTTTATTAAAATTTGAACATAAGTTATTGTAAAACATCACAAACTCTCAATTTAAATGATTGAATAACAAAAATAAATCGGGATATGTAAAATTAGGCTGAAAGTAATCGGATTAGGCGGGAAGTAATCAGATTAGACGGAGAGTAATCGGGTAACTGATTTCTTTAGGGAATTAGTCATTAATCAAAACAGATAGGGTGGGCCTAGCGATTAAACGGGGAGTAATCGGCATAGGTGGGAATTTTTAGAACGGAGATTTCATCCTATAGAACTAATTAAGACTCGGCCAGGTTTGCTAATTAACTCCATAAAGAAGTGAGCGGTCACATCAAAGGACGAATACTGAATATAAACTAATATAACCGTGAAAATGGAAATAATAGTTTATGTTCCATATCATGTAGGTTAAATATAATACCATTAATTGATGGAAAAAAAGTATATATAATATTTTCTCTGTTTTTTAAGTTTGATGTTTTAGGTTTTGCACATAAATTAAGAAAAACTAATTTTTATATTATTTAATTATTTATTTGTTTGTTTAATAATTTTAGTTTCACTTCTCTCCTCTTCATATTGGTTACAATTAAAAGTAATAATAATATTATTACAAAACATCAAACTTTGTGAAACAAAAAAAAAATCCCAAAACATCAAACTATTAGGAACAGAGGAAGTACCATTTTGAAGCAGAATCTGTTCTATATGGCACAGAGTGACAACTCCTACTTCGTAGTTAGAAATGCTAAAAAGAACACATCTATATTTGTTTTGTCTTTTGGAGGAACGCATTAGTTGCAATTTTTCATTAGTTTGGTAATAAATTAGTAACCATCAACTAGAGTTGGTGGGCTAGTGGTTCTAGTATAGTAGAAAAATGGCTTTGTTCGTCAAGGCCAGCGATCGATTTTTCCTAAACGTAGAATTGCTAAGCTTTATCCCTTTGCTCACATGGATATAAACCCATTGTTTACGGCTCATTTGAAAATTTGGAAGAGACCATATCCGTATAACACTTTCTCCGCAGGAATTAATTCTAAACTCTTCCATAGGTCTAGAAATTTATCCTAAGTTATAAAAAAAAAATTAGTAACCATCAATGATTGTCGATATAATAACATTAACAAGACGGCCACAAAAGTGCAAAAGAATAAAGAGAGTCAAATGGAATTGTCCGGAACTCCGGATATGTCTATAATAATCCAAATTAAGCATGCTAATGAACAATCAAACAATTCATAATCATTTAACAAAGATCCTTTAGATTTGTGGGGATGGCTAATTTACGCTTTTTCTTTGCCAATTTTCTTAAATATATTTTTCCTCTTGATCTTGAACAAATGGAATATTCTTTTTGAAAAATGTATAAAACATACTTAGAATGCTATGCATATATAGAATAAATTTTTTGAAAAATGCTACAAAAATAATCCTGTCAAATAATTATATTTTATAATAAGACTAACTAGCTTCTTATCAAAAAAAAAAAGACTAACTACTCTTGTGAAACTCTTGTGAAAAAGAATTGGTTCGGATCAGATGTACATTTCCCAAACAATCTAGTCTTATGTTTCTACAAATACATCAGTTGTCATATCAATGTATACATCATTTGTTTTCTTATTTCAGTGACTCTCATATTGATCTATCGATTTTTCAGCATATGATATATCAAAATGTTATAAAGTCCAATAGCCTAAAGTGGTCATCTCGTTTGTGAATGGACAGAGTTACATCATGTACTGATTTGGAATCAAAATCATAGTATGTAGTTAATGTCTCAATTGATTACCCACGAAATAAACAGCGTCAGTACTAAAGAATTTCTTCAAATGCAGTCTTTTTTTTTTTTTTTTGCAAAATAAATATATATATATGAGACTATATACATAAACCATATAGGTTAAAAATGTATTAAAAAAGGAGTATATAATAAGTATTACAGGAGTCAGATGCATATGATATCTCTGCAATGCAGAGATGCCCATGGTAAGAAACTACAAGAAACCCAGCTGTTAGTTTCCCATGTGGACTATTAATTACTATTTGATTAATTCAGACTTCTCTACTATTACTAATTCAATTCACGAGAAAACTATCCAAAATAAAACAAAACAAATTAGTAGTATAAAGACTTAAGATTTTAATTTTCTTTCTTTAAAAGCCGTAAATGGTAAAAATATTTCAAGTTTGATGTTTCTTTTTTTTTTTTTTTTTTTGATGTTACCTAATTATATACTAGTTTGATGTTTTTTTTTTTTTTTTTTTTTTTGATAACTTACTAGTTTGATGTTAATCTAGTATATTGATATTGAATCCTAGATACCTAATTGTAACACACTAAAAAATACGAAGTGGAGTTAAAATCAGTAAATAACTAAATTGGTTTTGTCTTGGGTTTTATATAATTAAGTTACTTTAGTGCATACAATAAACAAGATAACGAAGATCAATGAAATTTTTAACAAACAAGATGCTGTAAACTAAATAGTTAAACTAGATATTCCACTTGTCTTGTTGTGGTTCTTCCTTTCATGAGAAGAAAAATCCACCTCCAAGATTAACCAATCAGCATTCTTCCTGTCTTGAGAAGGAAAATCACCTCCAAATTTACCAATCAACATCAATATTACCCGTTGAAGAACCAATTTCATAAGCAACGAAATGGCACTAATCGAAAACTATATTTAAAAGCCCCGTAATAGTTTAAGTATAAAAGAAAGTCGTAATCATATTTAACACATTCTAATATCTTGAACAAGTCTAATTATGGCCTAGTCTCACTAAATTAACAATTCAGCAAGTATAGTTTTATATCATTAAGCATAAACAAAAGAGCTTGACCACAAAATATAATTAACAAAAGAAAATTAAAAACTAAAAATCATAATTGTTTATTACTAAAAAAGAAGAGAAAAACTAATAACTTTGTCAGACTAAGCACACAAGATCTACACATAGCTTAATCGTAACAGTTCCAATGGAATCTTTTTCTCTCTCTCTCTCCCACCTCTATAGACTCTAGAGAGAAAAAGCCACATTCATAATCATAGTCGTCATCTTCAGAGAAATATCATTAATGAACAAGAAGAAGAAAAAAAGATGCAAAAAAACAAACGGAAAAAGAGCAACAAACAAAAACAAAATCGTCACAAAAAGTCGAAAGACGAATCTAATTCACTATTTTATACTTATTAACTTATTTTACAATTTGTCTGTTCTTATTTTTTTTTCCTTCACGCTGAAACTGATCTTAAACAAAGCTTCTCTAACCAGAATGGTAAACAAAATCTAAAATTCATCTAAAGAAGTACACAACAAAAGAAAACAGAACCCTTATGTACATGTATTATATCTATCTACTTCGGTTTCAGAAAGAGAGAGAGATTTAGTATTTTGTTTTTTTTAAGAATCAGAGTAATTATCTCTCCAGCAAATAAGCATGATAACGCATCTACGCATGATATAGAAACGAGCTCTCTGTTCTTTAACCAATCTTGCACACTTTCTCGTAAAAGCACATCTCCCCTGTTTCTTGCCGTTGAAGGAAGAAGATGAGGTCGATGAAGAGCGCGTGATTCTCGACGCGCCGCCGTCTTTCTTCGACAGTTTCCACTTCTCATCTAGGTGAACGCTTCCCGATCGAGTCAGGCTTGAAGACGACGCCATTGATGTTAAAGATCTCAGATTTCAGATGTTGTGTGTGTGTGATCGATCCCAACGAGGAAAAAAGGATAAATATTTTATCTTGTGGGTTCGTTGGAAATTGACGAATTTGTGAGGAATAGATATAAAAAAAACAAACTTAGGAATTTGGAGATTTTCTCGGAGTTTGGAGATTTGAGTCAGCAACGGAAAAGAGAGTTAGGGTCTGTATTTATAATGGATTTTTCAGAAACATATATCGATTTAGAAAAGAAAAAATAATAATATGAAAAGATAAATAGTTTTGGTTAAATATTTATTTATTTTTGTATTCATTTGTCGGTTTTTGTGATAAATATAAAATTAGAAGAGGATGCAGAGAGTTGTGGCAGTCGCCAGTCGGTATTGCCCGGGGCCTTGTTGCGGCATCGATTGTCCTCCCACTATTAACATTTTGTTTTTATATTGCGAAGGATTTGGCTTAAAATTAAACAACTCAATTAATCATATATAGAGAGGGGAATCCAAACTAATTACGAGATTTTAACGAGATGTTGTTAGAAATTACCTAATCCAACTTATATCTACCGAGAATCGAAGAGAGCAACGGTATTATGATACTCATGCACCCGATATACAATGGAACTAGCTGGTTTAACAAACCCTTATATTTGTTGCTCAAATTTTGTTTATAGAGTCTTTTTTTCTTCTTTTCTTATAAAATTATAAAATAGCTTCCAGTATTGATGATCCAAAAATAATGATAATTTAATTTGTGATATCAATGTTTTGTTTAGGATTTATCCCGTTTTGACGACAAAAAAATAAGGATTTATCCCGTTTTCGTTTACATAAAAGTATTAGTCTACACAAAAAAAAATTAAAAACCTAAAAGAAATCATAAATCATTTATGAACCTGAAATCTAAAATCTTCTTTGAACTGAAAATCATAATAATTGTGTAGTCCAACAAAAAAAATGGTTTAGTATATTTGATTACTTTCCTAAAAACTCAACAAACAAATACTTTATGCGATAGATATTTCTTTCTTATAATAGAGAAATAAAAAAAACGTAAACTTTGAGCTGCTACATATTAAAAGTAATCGGCCATTGATCATATAAAAACCGATATATTTCAAATGATCCGTTGCGATGGATCCACGCTCTTGGCTAACAGTGTACACAAATTTGAGTGCTAAAATTTCTAGTTTTGTGATAATATTGAAAATTAAAAAGTAGATCGGATCAGTATTTTTGGGATTCTCCTATTCCAATAATATAATAAAACAAAAGAAAAAATGAAAATAAAATTGAAGTGTAAAGATGGAAGGAAAAGTCAGATAGTGGGGAGAGTAGAGAAGAGTGAAAGAGGAGATTTTAATGCATCAAAGCAAATCTCAGTCTCTCTCTGCACCAGTAACTGTTAATTACTTTGCTCAGATCAATTAATAATTGCACCAACAACAAAGGAATACTTTTATATCAATTTATAGTAACTGTATTTATGTGTTGCTATGTAGTATATAAATTATTTATCTTTGTAACGAATTTATAATGTTTCTCTGAATCTCTTATCTCTCTATCTATTTTACTTTACTGCGGTGAATATTTTATTACTATAAGAAATAACAAAAAAAAAAGAAAAAGGATGGAGAAGAGGAAGATGAAGGAAAGGATGTGAAATCACATGCAAGTGTAGTAATATGGTTTGGCTATTTTAGTGCTCCTATTTTTGCCTGACTTTGATGTTTCTTTCTCTTCTCGTTCGTCTTTATTGGGTTTTCTCTCCCGTATTTTTCTCTTTTCTGGTAAGTTTGTTTTCTTTTCCTTTCTCTTTGAGTTAACGAGTGGTATTTTATGCTGAAGTCCGACTAATTTTTGGAATGAAGAAGTCATCATTAACCAGCTTACCGTTTTTGTTAATGATCCTATTTTCAACTGATCAAATATAAATAAAAAAGTTTCGGATGTGAATTGAACCCAAAAACAGGAGCGATTAAACCAAACTGAAGTGGAAAAAATAGAACCAACCAAACTTCAAATTCAACTCAATAAATTAGAATCTAGAGCAAATATGAAGTTAAATTGTTTTTTTTTTTGTGTAATTAAAAAGGAAAAAGTAAATGATATTAAGAGACAAACAAAAGTGGTAGTGGAAGACCAATATTATTGGGCTTAGAGCCCAACTTCATGAACGGGAAATTAAGCAAGAATATTTTTAAGAAAATATTTCAGTTTCTCTTTTTTAAGCAAATAATACTACTAAGATTTACGTTTATGGACTGGTTCTTTCATGCAAATTATAAAAATTTCTCGTTAGTACATTTATAGCCGACTGTTGCGTATAAGTCTAGTTACAATGTTGTTCTAAAATCAAATTGCGTTTGACATAAAAAACGATCATGTATCCTGATTAATTTAGTTCCAATTAATTAAACACGCCATCATATGCTTAGAGAGATTACTATTAATTATTATTCTGTTTGTACCATTTTTTTTATAGTAGTGAACTAGGGTAGTTACCCGCGCCTTACGCGGCCAAAATGATTTTTCGAAAAAAAAATTCAAATTATAAAGTTTAAAAATAGTTTAGTGATTTTAAAATACGATAGAATTATTACAAATGATCAAACGTGTCTAGTACAAATGATTTACCCATTAATTGTAACTCATAAGAACACCAAACTAATCAAACATTTGTGTAGACCTTTCTATGACCCACTCAATCATCCGACAATGAATATCTTGCATTCCTTGCAGCCCAAACAAAAGCCATCGCGAGTGTACTATATATGGAAAACTTGCTAGGTTATTAACCGAAACAAATGCGAACATCCAATTAATATATTATGATAGACTCTGAATATTACCCGTTCCTTGATCTCTTCAAGATCGTAAAACTCCGAGTCAAGGTAAAATCTAGAACATCCACTTCCATTCATGAGACATGGTTTCTCGGAAAAATATACAATTCGATAAGATCATATAATATATTAGCTGCCTTAAGTTTTTTTTTTAATATGATAAAGAAATATCAATCAATACTTTTGTACTCATCAACTCGCAAAAACCTCAAAACACAAAACACAGGATCACGACGGTATGATCGATCGTATTCTCAGTTAACCCACACTCTCATAAACTAATCGGTCAAATCTCCCACCGCGCAATATCTCAATTTCAACCCTTTTTAATTTACAAACCAAAATAAAAACGACATATATACGAAAATATTGGCATGCAAAATTAAAAGAAAACTTACCTATAATTCTTTAATATGAAATAAACACAGTTGCATCCATTATCCCTATCGAATTGCCAACGAACGTAAGAGATTCTTTTAAGACCGCCAATATGGACGGAAAATCCCACCGTATCTAAGTTTTAGGGATTTGATTTGTTAGCTAACTCATAGTTACATTAAAACCAAAAAAATGAAAGGAAGAAAACGAAAACTTACCAATAGGAGTCTCGGTCAAGACCCTCCTATCCCCTTATTCGTCTAAATCTTTCAACTTAATCATTAATTATGAGGCCTCTATACCTTAAACTCTAATCCCTACCTTATAAACCCAATTTAGTTGTTCAAATTCGTCTAAATGTGTAACACCAAAACCTAACTTCTACCTTATAAACTCAAAACGATATTTAACTTCGTCTAAATGTATAACACTATACCATAACTCCTATCTTTGAAACCCAAACCGATATTTAACTTCGTCTAAATGAAAAACACTATACCCTAACCTCTACCATATAAACCCAAACATTATAAGTTAAGTCATAAATCATTTTAATATAATCTAATGAGATTTTTCCATTGTTTGAATCTGTTTGGTTACAGTATGAAAGAGTGATATCAAGCCTAAACCCTAACTCTTGCCTTATAAAGCCAATATGATATTTAAATTTGTCTAAAGGTATAACAGTAATTCTTACCGATTAAATTCAAACCGATATTTAATTTCGTCTAAATATAAAACACTAAATCCTAACCCTACCTTATAAACCCAAGTTATTTATTTAAATTCGTCTAAATGTATAACACTAAACCCTAACTCCTACTTCATAAACCCCAAACCTATATTTTAACAGTCACCTCTCAATCAATTGTAACATCACCCAAATCTCATGCATCATGGTTGCTTTCACATATCCAAAACCTACAATCATAAAAAAAAAACATCACAACTATAAAACTATAATAATATGTACAATAAAAAACAATGTAAAAAAGCTGGGTTTAGCTATGAACCGTAAGTATAAACATGCAAATTATTTATATTAAGCTAAGAAGCGGTAGACTTTAGGTTTTATCTTTTTTCGACGATAATAACTACAAAAAAAAAGAAGTTTTATATTTTTTTAAAGCACATAGTTATCATATCAACTAATATTGGTAAAACTACCATTTTTCATTTTTATCCATGTTAAAATAAAAAATATATAAGAAAAATTCCTTACTTTCTTAGAATATATGGATAAAAAATAAACAGATCAGAGAAATAATTTTTTCGATGATATTACCTAAAAAATAGTATAAATTTTATATTTATCATTATCTACATAAATTTTAAAAAATTATTTTTATTAATTTTTAAAATATATTATCGACCAAGAAATTAAAAAATAGCTTTACTCATCATTATTCCATGTTAAAAAAATTAACCAAGATCTATAGTGTCGAGAAAAGTTAATTACCATTAAAATTAGTTACCCTTTGTGCGTCATTTTTCCCATTTTTATAACGGATATATATTTATGAAATAACAATTTTCATGTAATGCTGAATTTTTAGTTAATTCAGAAAGATAACAATAGCCAATTTCTATATTCTCCAAATCTTAATCTTAATATATTTTTTTTGTCAAAATCTTAATCGTAATTTTTATATTTTCATATCAAATAATAATCTGAATATTTTATTATCTCGGATAATTATAAATTTATCATTCAGATAATTAAGTATAAAATAAATTTATCACACTATATGTAAATTTTTTTTTCTAAAACTTGATAAGAAAAGATAGACTTCTTTTTGTTATAGTGTTACTACATTTAGAAGTTTCTGCAGCTTAAATTCAAACACATAATGACAACTAAAAAAAACCAAGCACATGTGATTATCATCGTGGTCTCAAGGACACATGGAAACAGAGAGAATTACTTATTTTTTAGTTAGGTTCAAATAACTGTTTATCAATATACAAATTAATATGATTGTTTTTTGCAAGGATAGCTTCCGTTTGTTA